GCCCTTGAAGAGCATTTGGAGACTTCAGCTTGTCCAGAATGCACCCACAATTGCTCGCGCGGCTGCATTCTGGACAAGCTGAAGTCTCCAAATGCTCTTCAAGGGCTGCCCCATGTAGAGCACGTTGCAATAGCATCTCTTGGTTGATCAGTATACTTGAGTTCTGCAGCTTCCTCCCAAGAGCTTTTAACATTCCAATTTTTTGAGTTTGAAAAATCAGATTAATTCCCTTTGACGGTCAAAAACATGTCACTTGGGAGTCCTCCTTTGATCCAGATTTGATCCAATCCAATTTGGTTTCCTAATCTGAGCCAATCTGATGGGCCAACTAAGATTTAGAAAGTTGAACTGTGTCATCAAAATCGGTTTTGATTCAGTTTGCGGGTTTTTTGGGGAATTGGATAATTCTGCCTTTTTCAGATGCTGCAGGACTTTTGATCCTCTGAATCAAATGTATTCTTTTAATTCAAGTTAAATTCAGTAAGCCTGAGTAGGAACCGCAGCCCTTATTGATTTTTTAAAAAAGTCATTTTTCTCAAATGCAGGCACGATTTGAAATCTGTTTTATATTAATACTCGTTTCCTTTCCTTTTTATTCCAGGGGCCTTAACAAGCAAGGTTATCAGTGCAGGCGTAAGATCTTTCAGTATATTATTATATGTTGATGGTTATCATAACTGTGCAATAGTTCTTGATACTCTGATGAAAAGCCTAAGAATGAAAAAGTAATTTAATAATCACAACAATCTCTGTATGGAAGCAAAACATGTAGTTTTTAAAAAACGTTTAAGTGGGTTTTTTTAAAGTCTTACGATCCTGCTCATATTTTCACCATTCTCACAATCCAGTATGCTTCCAAGTCATTGTCAATCACTGAGAAAGAAAACAGACATTTTAGGTTTTCTGTTTTTCTTACGGTTTTCAAGGAAGAAAAAATTATCTCAAGAACAAGAAGCCAGAATCAAGGGAGAAAATGTTTTATGCTTGAATTGGAACTTTCTGTCTTCTCTATTGGTCAAAATACAGAGTTAGGAGGTGCCATTTTTTCTGCCCTTAGAAATCTGAACTTTAGAATAACTCGACCTTTTTTTTTTCCAGATTGACAATCATAATTTGAGTACCTGCTGGGATTTGCGCCCCCAAAAAGAATGAAAAGAAAACCTTGCTTAAAATTAGATTTAACCGACACAATTAATTAATTCAATATCAGGACTACCTTTAGCTGTAAAGATGGAAGCATGTTCTGCTACCATCACATAATGAATGACAATTCTGGGTGGAATTTAGCAGAACCCCAGTAGCTGCTCCTGACACTGGAGAGGCTGGGAATCACACACACACACACACACACACACACACACACACACACACACACACACACACACACACACACACACACACACACACACACACA